CCACCATCTTTAAAAAAGGCCGGGGGTGATTTATCTGGGCCTAGTGATTTGTGGCGCTTCCTAATTTGGAGTTCCTAGCGAAATTCCACCTCGTTAGGTGGATCAGTCGTCACAGGCTATTTAGGGTAGGATAATCTGATCGATGTTGTCGGAGCAGCAGACTAGTTTAACTGCTCCTTGAAAAACTCTTCCCATAGTCCAAGATATCGATAGATGTTATTGATTGGCATCCTGTTATTTTCACAGTTTGTTTCACTCACACCAGACTTCTTACTGCCAGTATCTTGGACGAGTCGAACGAGCTTCTGGCAATTACCAGATCCAGCTGCTGACTGCAACTCGTTAGCACGCTCCGACCACCAGGCTTCTCAGTCCCTACTCAAGCTTTGTACATTTTAGTTATGTAACAATCTGCGGTTATTGTTGTTCTCGCAGTTACACGTAGTAAGCGGAAGTGCCTCAATGATTTTTCAGGAGCCTGAAGAAACCAAGTGCTTATAAGCGGGACGTTTAGCGAAGCCGCAAGTAAATTTACTCTCCATTTTCACGGTGCCATGCAAGAGCAACCAATGATCATCTATACTTTTCTGTGGGATGGTAGCTAGCCTTGAACCTAACTCGGTTTGATATTTATTTGCAACAGCAGCTACAACTAATTTACTGACATCGATCTGTTCAGGATGATCAATGTGCTGGCCATTGAAACATGAGATAATAACAAACCAAACAACTGCATGATTAGGGTCCAGTTAAGTACTCTTAAAGGAGTGGCAGTCTTTTATACAACCACGCCAGCGGTAGCTGATCACGATGTGATCAATCTGAGTCTAGACTTGAAATTCAGAGGAAGGACGCCAGGTGACACATCGGTGATGACTGTGCCAGCAGTTAGTACTAGCCAGAAACAGGCTGTGGTCTGCACACAGTTGCAGTAGACGGTCACTATTATCTGACCTGTGACCAATAAGTCCCCATCAGCCACCTATACGACTCTCACCTGTGCCTAGATGCCCAACATGCGGATTCAAGTTTCCGACTAGTACTACAATATCTGTCGAACTCACGTTATGTAGAAGAACTGTTAACTGGTGGTAAAACTCATCCTTGATCGCATACGGGCTGACATTTTTCAGAGAGCAGGTGGAGATGACGGAAAGACATCATTTCTCACGCCAATTTCTTCTTACTCTGGTGGAACTTTCTAATATAACAGCAAATAACCGACTGGTAATGGTTATCCAATCGATCAGTGCTGTCTCATTTCTAGCACCAGTGAAACCAGACAAATATTTCACAGGGTCCCCGGATAAACGCACGTAAAACAAGCTTTTCGAAGCGACAGATAGAAATCGAATTTGTAGTACTTCAATAGAGTTTTGAATACGGGTCAACAGGCGTCGATGTTGAGAATTTCTGAAGACATAGCTAACCTTATCTGTTGTCCGATCTGCATTAGTGTGCGAACGTTGAAGGAAGCCAGTTTGAATGGTGTACTTGTTTTCAGGAACTGTTTTAGTATTTGTATTCGGTGGTAGCATTCAACTTTCAACCAGTCAGTGACTTGAGATCCTTTAGGTAGGACAGGGTTTCCACCATAGGCGAGATGCTGTATTAGTTGAAAGATGAAATAAGTAAAATGATAATAGAAGTGGGTAGATAAGCGAATTAGTATTTGAAAAAAACAAAAACGAAATTTATCAAATGAATGTGAATTGTCTGAATTTTAATAGAAGGGAGAATATCATTTCCAGCAATCATTGTCATTTTATTTTATTCGTTTGTGCTCTGTGATACTGCCCGGGTGTCTATACCGAACCAATCGTTTTCCTTAGGGGTCACCCCCGACCTAAATGTCTAGTCCACAAGGCAGTGGAGTAAGGTTAAGAGATTCAATTTTATGGTAGCCAATGATGATGGTAAATCAGTTGATGATGTGAATCTACATCGACTGAGATGGTTGAGCCACGTGCTACGTATACTTTAACACCGTGCTGACTAGTATGGAGGTGGTCGGAAGTGAGTTAGGGACGGCCAAACCAAAACGTGTCATCAGTCCTTGAAGTCACTAACTTCTACTCTGAGCCATGTTGGTAGATACACACTACTTGGTTGGGGTCCGTATGACTGTCGTAACCAATGGTTGGAGACTCTAGGTGACATGGCTCAGAATCGATCACAATGGCGTAAGTGTATACACTCTTTGTTTACTCTTAAACCGGTGAGATTAAAATATGGCATCATCATTAGTTTTTAGTCATTTATAGTATTTCCAACGCTACATGAGTCAAGGTTCTAGGCTATTGATTTTTGATTGCAGCATCCATGGATTAACTTTTATTTATTTATTTATTTAAACACATAAATATTGATACAAGGAAGCACCAGATACATATGCGCCATACAAATCTCATTCGATTTGCTTGAGGGCTGTGATACTGCCCAGGTGCCCAAACTGAAGCAGGTGGTTTTCTTAGGGGACCACACCCAGAGCCTTTGACCTGAAGGTCTAGTCCACAAGGCAGTGGAGCATCGTGAGGAGATGCAGTCCCATGGTAGCCGGTGACCAACGATCGATTCATACGCCATTTGTTCCTTCAGGATACTGGAGCCCATGTGCACCATTGGTTTGGAATCATGGTTTTCCAACTTCCCTAGGTGAACTTTCCGTGTCCACCGACCCGGTTAAAGCGCCGGAAATTCGCTTGTAAATTTCGTAAACAACACCTTTGCCACGAGAAGGCAGTGAGTAGGACTTCCCTGGCAGAGGCTATGTATGAGTGACTATGCGACAGCATTTTCAGAGGGAGAGCTGACTCTCTCACTCTCGGCCGTACCAGGGCAGAATATACTATGATATAAATGTAGATTTAGTTTTGTTTTAGTGTTCTATAGAAAATGTTTCTATCCAACATATTGTATTGCTCTTTAAATTATAAAACAGTCCTCAATATTCACAGCACAGAATTCGTTTTCGGATATATAAAAGTAATAATAACTTTTTTGTGGGGATGCACTGTAATATGGAGTTAGAGCTTACAGAATGATATTTTAAGCACACTTCTACAGGTTTTAACCATAAACAAGGTATTCACTAAACTATATGAATTAGTTTTTAATAGTCCTAGTGCTTTCTTTTCTCATTGTTGTAATACAATTCAGACTAGGTAGTGAACCATTCTTATTCCATTCTTTTAGCATTAGTTAGGTAAAAAATGTTATAAATGGTTTGTTGTCTTTCTACTTGTCACACTAATCTTTATACCTGTCATGCTTACCCATTTTATGGTTTAATTGTATGCCGTGTAGCGATAGCCAAAGACCGCTGTATGAAACATTTTAAACGGGGTTACTTTAATTATAGTAGGCTATCCCCTCATGTTTTGATATTCTAACTTGCACTAATACTCTACTTCGTGCTATAAATTTCGCCTTACAACCGTGAGATGATAAATTGATTTTTCTGTTCGTTTCATCGGAATCGTTTAGTTTAAGTAATTTCTAGGTCGCCTAACAAATCCCACGTTGGAAAATATCCTACATATAATGTTTTGACATGTCTTGGTTATTTAATCGCGAATTTATTCTCTACTATTCTTTTTAAGTTCTAGTTTTATAAAAAGTTCACTTTGAAAACCATAGCTGATGTAGAAATTTATGAACTTACATTATGATTTAAGCTAATTTACGATACTTCAGTCTCAATTTTAACAAATTATTCTGTTTAGTTAGAGACAGTCACTTTTGAGCTACAGTTTAATGGCATCGTTGAAAAGTAAAGCTAGTAGATTTCCGAGAAAATATCTATTGAATAAGAGCCTATAAAATATCGCATTTGAATGTTCGGTTAACCATTACCTTCTTTACAAAAAATATGCATTATTTTGTTATATTTTTCGAATTTATTTAGCTTACTTAATATTTATGAGTAGCCTAATTATTTGCTCGTAATTAGGATCAATTAGTATAGGCTATCCTTAAATAGTCAAAAGATAAATCCAGTGTACTAATATCAGCTGAAGATAACTGAAAACCATAGACTAACATTTCAAAAATTTTGTCTTTGCATTAGTTTAATTTTGTTTTTTTCGGTTACTCAACATCCAATACGAATAAGAAAAATTTTACGAGTAGTTCGATTTTTTACTAATCTGGTAGAAACTTTGAAAAACAACGTGTAACCATCATGAGCAGAGATGGATGTTGGCCAGCAAAGGAATCCAAAACGTGCATTTCGTCTTATTCGAGGCTCATCAGCTGAAAACCCTGTATATGAGTTAATGTTGACTTCACTATTTGAACCCAGTAGCGTTCGCTTCAAACGCCACCGCGTTGTCTGCTTCGCTTCTGAATACAGTCAACCACTGGTTTGTGAAGTGAGGTGGAGTTCAATTCATTCGTATTGGTTATTTGAACCTTCCAAATGATGTTGATTACCCCAGTTAGGACATGTGCATCCTGGGCGTATTATCTCGATGTTACAATCTGATCAGAAGCATTATAAGCAGAATGCACATATTGCCGAAAAGTGACTGATCAATTACAGTCTTCAACATAAGTTGGAAGATTCAAACAACCAATACCAATGTATCAAGAACCCAGCTGCGACTTCAGAGCATAAAAACAATTTTTCATTTGAATTAAAGATCCTTTAATGGCAAGCGCATGAACCTAGGATTTTACATGCTAATTTTTCTACATACTGCTTTTTCCAAACCTTGTGCATTACAGGCATACTAAAATCAAAGGTCTTTTATATGTCAAAAGGCAAATTATATGAATATTAACATAAAACTGGTGTTTATTAGATGAATTAGGTTCCTCAGTTAAATAAATTCTGTGTCATATCGGTGATGTTGAGGTCAAATAATAGTTTCAGGATCAAAATAGAAATATTTGAAAGTTGCAAGAATAAATGCTGGAATTCTCAACTGTTTTTATCAATTATCACTTCGGACAACTCAATCAGTGTTTTGATTTATAGTATGATTATTTGTTCTTTTAAAATTGTTTTCCAATAAATATCGATAATAATGATAGATTTAGAAAGATAAATTGAAGCGTATGAAAAGAGACGCTCAATTTACAACTAAGCAATAATTAATATATGATAAATAAATTTCCGAATGGAATCCTGATCTCTGTAAATCACTGTAAATTTGATTTACTGAATACAAATTTTCCCACAAACATAACAAGTCAACTTACCGATAGATAAAGTAATTGATGACTCTTGTAAATACTAGTCGGCTACTGAGTATTAGCTAACAAAAAGTTATCTAAGCTACAGTGCTGGTCAGATTTTAATAATCATGCCACGAATATTCCAGTAATAATATCTTTGGTTACAGAACTGGGTAACCTAGTTTTCTATCTCTTGGGGAGTATATGTTTCTCAGGATTGTGGTTATTCCTAGTTGATTATTATGGACAAGAGAAAAACTTGGGTTCTTATACATGTCTCATACAAAAAAATATTTATCATTCAAATGTATAGATGTCAATCGTCTAGTGAAGATAGGTTTTCCGATTTGTAGTGAAACCTTGTGGGTTCGTATAAAAAGCTCAATCACTGAATCTTAATGTTTAAACAGGACTGTTATTTTCAATAATCTTACATCAAACTTAATTTTTACATCTAGAAACATTTCAGATCTAGGTAAAAATTAAAGTTAAACGATTATTCAAGTTAGAAAAACACTATACTCATTACTGGATCGACAAAACATCTCAAACATAACTTTCAGCTCTCGTTGTTCCTAATTAAACCTATCGTACAATCTAACTGACTGATTAAATGAGTCGCATAGGCTAATGAACATTATTAAATGAAAATCTCAAGATTATAGACTACAAATCGGGGTATAAATATTATCATGTGTGTCAGTTGATTATGAATAAATTATAGGGTATAAAAGCAAGAAATAAAAAGAAAAAGAATCCCAAATACATAATTTGTTAAATGTGGCTAGCAGTGGAATCCAGAATGTGTCATATTCCTTGCGTTGAATGATCTAATTGCAAAGCTTTCATTGCCCTTGTAAATAACAACGTTATCACATCCTACAGTTACATAAAACTTTTCTAATCATCAGTCGGTGTTAAAACACTTAATTCTGATGATCTTTTTTGTGACTGAATGTCTTCTCATATGACTTCATGTTGTCGCTAACTGTTTCCGGAAAAGTTGTACACTCTTGAAGAAATCATCCAAAGAAAATTTAAATATTAATAAACAAACGAAAACAACTTTTATTGACCTAGTCTTTACAGGTTGATTGACTTAAGTATACGAAAATATGAGTTTTTTTATATAATGAGTCACATATTTTCCAGAGTAAAACATCTTTATAAAGAACGTTATAAATATTTGTTGTGGTAGGTGATGTGTTATATTTGGACAATGAAAGACTTATTTAGTTATGTTTTATTGTTTTAGTATTCACCTTTTTCAAATAAACAGTGAGTTTCTATTCACTACATCTCATTAAAATGTTTCTTAAAAAGTAGAATGATCTTGTGAAAATCAATTTGTGTTGGTTAATTGGGTTCAACTGAAAGGAAACTTTGAAAGGAAGACTGATTCTAGTTGGGACTTGTTAGAAAATATGTATTTAAAATAATTCGAAAACTGATGTAATTTTTTGGATTTGAACATAATGTTTAAATAATTTTAAAAATGTTACATTAAGATATGACGTTTATTGAAGAATTAGCAAAAATCAGGAAGCAATGAACAATAGTGTTTTTCCAGTTTGTGATTGTTAAACACATTGTATATGAAGCTTCACAATTTCAGAAGAATGAGGTTATCTATTAAGGGCGATATCTTTCAACATCAGGTTAGTCATACTTTGAGCTTTAGTCTATTTGTGATATAATGAAATCCTCCTATAATATCATAAATGAGTTACAGTTGCACTTCCGTTTTGAGTGATTGAAATGACTGTTTCATTGTTTCACATCAGGGGTTTAAGACTGAAGCTTAAAAATCAAATTGTTTCTTAATATTTATTTTTCTTATTTTGTGAAGAGCTAGTCATATTTTCAAGTTATATTATTTTATCGTTAAATGATGTCCGTCATATAACCATCCATGCTTGTAGTTCTAATTCTTATTCATAATCATCATTTAAATACACTAAAAAGAAAATTACTTGTGAGTAGTTCCAGTGGTTTCCTTTTTGAAGAGTTGATCAAACTGATTATTACCATTACTATTACAAGTTAAGCACCGTAACTTTGAGATTAGAACATTCGTTTGTAATTGCACTACATCAGTGAATTGAGAGTAACAATAATAACACATTGTACATACACCTATAAATACTAAAACACACCCACACAAGTACATAGTTAACTAGTCAATCAATAATTACGGATCAGTAAAACTTCAGTTGTAATGATTTTTAAGAAAAGATAGTTATAACATTAATACTTAAGGAATATTTTATTCATTGAATCCTAATTTTAATACATAAAAAATATCTATATTCACATAAGATTAACTTAAATGAACAATCAGGTGTATGTACCTCTATTTCCATGTTCTGTATAATATTACCAGTATCCTTAAGAAATCATAAAGAGATATTGGTAATAGTAATTTTACTAAATTATATTTAGTTTTATATCTATAGTTGTATGGGTATGACCATGTGGTTCAAAATGGTTTCATGAAAAGAAAGAAAACCGTTCTGATTTATAATTTTTATCTGATTTATGTACATATTACTTTGTTATAAGTAGCTATTAAAAATTCTTCCAAATCGGTAAAACAAATCAATTTCATTTGAGACTATAAAAGTGTGTTAACTTATGTACCAGTATATATCTATATATATATATGCATAGAAATCTACATAAATCTGGATACTGAATTGGTATTTTTATCACCACCACCACCACCATCGCCGCCAACAACAACAAACAAACAAATTAAAAGAATAAGGTGCTTTTTTCATTCAAGATTAAAGAATTTTTGATAATTTCTAGCAACTGTGCTATAGTTTACTCGAATATATACGTATATACTACATGTTTTTGTATTTCAACTTATGTCTATGAACATGATCTTCCACTTAGAGCTATGTAAATGTATGAAAATGAATAAAATATGTTGTTGGTATAAAAACAAGTGTATAACACTTTATTATTAAATATATTTTCTGGGATAAATTTTTCCACAATTGGACAGAAGTATCTGAAATTTTTTGAATTTTATCAATTTTGACTATGAGGTCGCTTCTTCCTTTCTAGTTTTTTTTGTAATGAGTTATTCTTTTAGGCAACATAAAAGGTACATAAGATAAGATAGAGAAACTCATATATATTGGTTGTTTTGACCCGCTCATAGATGTTTTTTCAGGACTACACTTAGTTCGTTTCTTTTAGCATATGTACATGCTGCCACTATATTGCTATTAAGTCACAGGCATTGTAAACAAAGAGTGAATACATGACCCGCATTTTGTCATTTCTTGGACTCATTAGCTATGGCACTTGAAGCGAATGGTACTGGATTTGATTTCCGGAGTGAACATCAAATCTGAAGGTACATCCAGCCGACGTGTCCCAAATAGGACGAAACGTGCACCCTAGATTTCATTGCTAGCCACTATCTATCTCTGCTTATAATGCTTGTAATTTAAGGCAATATCGGGGCAACATGCACAAAATGCACATATGCCAATAAGAGACTGACCGATTGCAGTCCTAAACATCAATAGGAAGATTTAAACAACCGATATGAAACATAAGTGCTTTATTTATAATCAAATATAAATTCACATCATTCTCATTGTTTTAATCCTAAATAAGTGTTTGTTCTAGTTATAAGATATATAATTCAGTATTGAATAAGTTATTTGATTAAATTAAAAATAGTTTTTTTTTGTTGTTAGTAAAGATAGAAAATTATTATGGCTAATATGGTAATAATATAATTGAGAATAAATTCTAATTGAATTCAGTAGTAAATTTGACTGAAAATATCGCTTGTACTGATGTTGTACAACAAATGAAAGAAAATAATGACACTTCAATTAACTTAATTTTCATTATAGAAGGGGTTTTGTGGAGATTTAGTATTTATTATAGTTGAAAGCGTGAGTCAATTGAAGCTAGACCAGGTTTTCCATAGTGGTCTAGCTTCAATTGACTCACGTTTTCAACTATAATTAATTTTCATTCTCCTCTTTTTTATATTTAAATTTTCAAGATAACCCCATAATTAATACATACGTTTAGTTTATGATGACTTACCTAACTTATTACGTAAGATACTTCGGATCCGTTGGCCAGACACTATCAGCAACAAGCTACTGTGGGAGACAACAAACCAGATTTCAGTGGAGGAAGAAATCAAGAAGAGGCGCTGGAGGTGCATAGGACATGCATTGAGGAAATCAACCAAATGCGTCACAAGACGAGTCCTTACATGGAATCCTGAAGGCCAAAGGAAAAGAGGAAGACCAAAGAACACATTACGCCGAGAAATGGAGACAGACATGAGAAGAATGAACAAAAATTGGACAGAACTAGGAAGGAAGGGTGAGGACAGAGTGGGTTGGAGAATGCTGGTCGTCGGCCTATGCTCCATTGGGGGTAACAGGCGTAAGTAAGTAAAGAAGTAAGTATATTTGAAATTTATTAAATATCACAAAGTTATACACAAATCTATACGTTAAATCATAAGACATGAAAAAGAAAACTGATCTATAAATTATTTATTACTTTCTTTTATCATTTAAAAATACTAAGGACATGGTTTTGTGTGAATCACTATATTCAACAAACTGGAAGCTTCGTTTCAACTATACTTATACGAAGATAGACTATCAGTGAAAAAAAACATGACATACTTTCACTTATTATCAATCTACATAGAGTTTGATTGTGAAAATGTAAAAAATTGAAATCGAGAAAATTATAAAAATTTCACATATTTTAAAATATCATAGTATTCAAGTCAGTCTACTGTCAACAGACACATCAGTACAAATCCATCTTATCAATTGATACTAGGAACAGAAATCAGTAATGTGATTGAGATTTAGTAGAAGGAAAAAGTTACCATCAAAATGAAGTCACATGAGAACGATGAAACATGTGAAGACATTCGATCACAAGGAAGGTCCTTTGAAATGTCTGACGTATCGCTATAAGATAGAATAATTACAACGCCTACTTTTCCTTGACAAATATGTTATTAATATTAACTAGAATGACAGTATATGTTTCGTAATTCTCGAGTGAAGTATATAAATTATTAAATAAATGAAAAGTTTCTAAAATGCATTATCATATTCTGATGATTTTCAAAGGTTTTTCAAATGGTTAATAAAATTAATGTGACGATTATCTTGACCGAAGAACTTTGGTTTACAGCTAAATATTAAATTGTGATAATAATATTTTCACCAGTATAGAATTGGGAAGATTGATTCGTTTTATTAAGATCACTAACCTATCTAAATTGGACAACCGTCGAAAATCCGTAATCACTGGACAGCCATTTCATTCTAGTATGTGACTTCTCAGCCAGGACAAAATTACCAGGGCGAACCATGTCGGAAAAACTGTTCGGGGCTTCCCGGTTTTCAATGTTTGTCGAACTTAGATGGGTTTGTGACCTGATTAAAATGAAATTCCTATTTTCAAATTATCACTACTCAGTGATACGCATTTAGTACAATTTAAAATTCCCAGCATGTGAATATATTTATGTTTACGGATAAAAAATTGTTTTTTAGAGTTTTACCTGTTTACATAAATGCACAACTATTATTCAACTACAGATTGTCAGTTTTAATCAGAATATTTATTGTAAATAAAACATACTGGTAGACTTTAGTGGAAAATTACTGTTTTAAGACAAACGTCTCCATGATCCTAATCTGTGTGTAAACCGAATAGAGAGTAGACAGTGGATGTACTTTTATGGATAATTATATAAGAGAAGAAAAATAAATTAACAGGTAACTGGATGAATAAAAACAATTCTCCCTGTTTGCAAAAATAAATAAAAAAGGAATACACACCACATACTGACTTTGTTAGATAATAGTACTGTTATTTGGTTATTCTCTCGAGCACATTTCAAACACTGTTGCAGAGTTTAAAATTTTTGGGAAGATGTTCCTTTTCTAATAAATACAATAACAAACAACGGAGATCATTAATAATAATAATATTGTTTCTAATAAACAACAGTATTATATAGAATCTAAAAGGATAACGACGGAAAACATCCATAACGAAACATTTGGGAGATTTATTTGCCTTGCAGGAATTAATGTAAAGAGTGGCGATGTCTATCGTTCAAATTAATCAGTTGTGATTAAATTATGTTTATTTTGTCTGTCATGAAATTCATTGTTTGTGTCAAGTGTACTTTCTTAGCTTAAGCCCCACTGTTTTTCACAATAAATTACATAATTGTTTAGTTATGACTGACATAATTGTTTATTGGTTTAATTTCTTTCTGGTTTAAACATAAGGTTAAACACATACCGGTGAATTATTTCCCATAACAAAGTTTTGTCCAAACAATAATAATCCTGAGCGCAACATCCAAACCAGGAACCTTCGGTCTAACACGCGAACGCCTAACCTCTTGACCACTGGGCCAGCATCCAATGGTGTTAATGTAAATAATATAGATTGTTACACTTTAGTTTTTATTTGACTGTAATTCGTCAATTCAGCGTTATTTTATTCTAGCGTACGAGGATTTTGTCAATGTTACATGAATGCATTGTCCTCAATAATATTAGTCCTTTATAATTATTTGTATTGTTTAAAAATATAGTTTCCATATATTTAAATGTGGTATCAAATAGTCTTAATCACATCATACCAAGAAAGAGTTTTATCTCTTGAGTTTGTTGGTTACTGATATCACTGACCGACCTAACTTAGAAATCCTTTGAAAATCAGGATTTAATGCCCCTGTGGCGTTGTCGATGTGCACTGATAAGGTATCACATACTAGGACGAATTAGATATCCAGTACCTCTTGGTTTCACTGGATATTTTACTTGGGCTGCCTTGCAATACCGATATAGTTTAATAATGCCTGCTATACTCTACACTGATATATTTACCAAGTCGGTGACTTTATTTTCCGTAATCTGTCTGATTAGAATTAGGCAATTGACCGAGTAAATGAATCACCAGTTTTATCATCTCAGTCATTTTCGAAATTTTTCATCACTGTAGAATTGTGGTATATCATTGTCTTAGTAAGGTATGTTTGTTACCCTTAATCCAACTACCCCTTGAACTTGAAAAAAAACAGCTTTCATTATCCATCATAAATTATAATC